AATCGCGTGTATGTAAAGAGAACAGTCTCGGACATGCATGTACATACGGAGTACATGTATGGAACGAGCATGTGCATACATGCTCAATCACTGGTACACTCGTACCGCCCGTCGGTGGCACTGCTTGGATTGGATGTGTGGTGTGTGCCTGTTATCATGCTCCCAGTCACATATTCGATTGAATCTAGTGCGTCATCATTCCAGTGGGCAGGCTAAATATAATTTGTACATACATACATATGTATGTACTGCATTTCTATGTATTTTGTGTACACCCACGCTAGGGGTACTTCCCCGAACTGTGAAAACCCTTCAGACCATCCATCTGCTTGGCCCCCCGGCATTGGGTTGGGTTTCCATTCCCATCATATAGCCGCCATGCGATTTTCTTTTTGTTTTGCAATTTGTAGGCGAAATATATTTTGCGACGCATTTTATAAGCCACTTTGCTCTCACTCTGTGTGGATCTCTTTTACTCTCTCTCGCTGCTGTAAAGCCCATTTGGCAATTATTTTTGGCTTTCTAAGACGACGACTTGGACTTTACAGTGTAGTGTTAGTTAACAGTGTAGTGCTGGTTAACGGTGTACTGTGAGTTTCACCTTTTCTGCCTCATGTGCAAACAATTAGCTGCTTTGTAGCCCCCGCAATTGCTGTTGGCCAAGTTGATTGACATTTTTGGGTTAAGCTTTGATGATTGTGGGCAAACAACAGCAAGTGAAACCATAAATAGCTTTGGGCTAAGTGTAATTGGTAATTGGCTTAATGAAATGCAAAAAAAAAATTGGCATGAAAACCGGCTAAAACCACAATAGAATCCACAAGAATGGTCATGTGGATTGCATCTGTCAGCGGCTAGAAAGAGTAACAGCTGTTATCCCGCAGCACCGACCGGCTTCTGTCGCTCTCACTCTCTCAGCATCCCAAACACACACACACTTGCATTCTCTCTCTCTCTCTCTCTCACTCACCAACACAGGCACTGTGGGACTTGCGACGCCGCGCAATACACAAAAATCGTGTTCTGCTCAATGGCTGCAATCGTTGGTGTTGTTGTCGTTTTTTTTTTATTTTGTGTGGATGGTGCTTAACACCTTATAGTAGCACTCGTTCATGCATACATACTGTACATATATAAGTACATAGTACTTGTAGTAGGCACTGTTGTTATATTATTTTTTTTATTGTATTTGTCTCTACTTTTTCCACTGCGCATGCAAAATGATGTGCAAAAAGAAAGCGAAACTTTTTTACGACGCCAGTAGCAGGGGTGCTTATTGTGTAGATGTGTGTGTGTGTATGTTTGCTTGGAGCCTATGTGTGTGCGCAGAATTGCTTTGAGCTTATGTGTGTGTGTGTGTGTGTGTATTGGCAACAGTGTTTCCGTGTCTGTGTTTGTGATTGAAGTTTCATTAAATATTTGTAAGTTCATAATTAAATTCATAATTAATGCATCGTAAATGCATTGTTAATAATTGAATAACTGTAAATGTCATGCCCGAGAGATACAATGTCCGGTTGCCGGCAATTAAGAGCGGATATTATATTTGATGGCAGCGCCTTTGGGACCTGTGCAGAGGATGGATGCAGCCCTGAAATCGCTCACACACACACACATACAAGAGGAAGAAGATAACCAAAGGAATGCCTCCACCTTGTACATTCTACACCGCTGCAAACCGCTTTTCTCCTTCGGCTCTTCATCATGTGTTTTTTTTTTCTCTTTTCTTCCACTTGCTTGATTCGTTTTGTTACCTTTACCAATTTGAAATAAACACACAGCGAGAGCAGAAGAAAGACCAGAGCAGGGAGAGGGGGGACGCATTGCGTGCCTTGAGCCGCTTGGCTGCTTCGCCTACGCCACTGCTTGGTCCCGCTATTTACTTGGGGTCCGCAACAATTTTCTAGCCTTTATCAGTCATTATTCGAATGTATTCTTTGCTCTCAATGGGGAGAAGACAAGAAAAGGCAGGGAACAGAACCAAAGCAGAGGAGAGCAAGCAGTCCAGAGCCGGTCTCTATGCGCTCTGTTGCTTCAATGTTGATTGAGAAAAACAACAACCAAATAACCCATGAAAACCAACGGCAAGGGTGTATCGAATAATATATACCCTTTGCATTGATGGTTGATTTTGATTTTGATAAATGTTTTGAACAGGGAATCTCTTGATTAATGATTTAAACGTGATGCATGTGATTGATGATGTTTTCTGATAAATACATATCCCCCATTTGGCAAGGGTATAGCAAGCCCTGTTGTTTGCTTGTTATTTACATTTGCTTTGCTGTTCGTTGTAGGCCACATTTTCCACGATTTTTCATTTACATTTCCCTGTTTGCATAATGTTATGTTCCTCCCCCTCTCTCTCTCGCCTATCTCTCTTCTTTTCTGTCATTTGCTTTGCTTTGTGTCGCTATTAGATAAATATGTGAGTAGAGATGACGGACAAGTGCACTTAGAAGTTGTTTATTACGATATGGGTACATTTTGAGAGAGGTCAACAGATACAGATCATTGGAGGAAGAGTTTCCAGTTTAAAATTGGAACCCCAAACCCCACCTCACCCCATCTTCTTGTGCATTTTGTTTTTCTTGCTAAAATTTCGTATTCTTGTTGCAGTAATTTTATACGATTCACTGTAATTTTATATGCAACAAATATTTCACGAAGAATATTTCCAGCTACTTGTTTTGCATTTTGCGTGCGGGATCAAAAGAAATTTTAAATTGGAAATTTCAATCGGCTGGAGGACCTACCTGGTAGGGATGCCCTAAACCCTTTTTTTTTTTGTTGTCGTCATTCACCTTTTGTCCAGCCCCCATGATTTGTGCACCGACAAGCAGTTCTTCTTTCGGAACGGAACGGTAGAGCCAAAGAACCAAACAAGCAGCGCGGTAGTGAAGAGTGGGAGAGAGAGAGTATACAATTTCCTTGTAGAAGATTTGAATTACCTGTAGTGTTCGTTCGTCTGTAAGCAGATACCGTTTTTTTGGCACACACACACACACTTGCACCTACACTGAAATCATTGCGAAGCGAAACTTCTTTTTTTTTTGTAGTTTTTGTAGAGGGTGGCAGAGGAAGGAGTGAGTTGAGTTGCCGCCAACACCGCTGTGCAATTTAATGGAAGGGAGAGAGCGCGATAAGGCGAGCGGAGAGTGGCCAAGCACAGTGGTAGCATAACATGGTTACAGCGGAGCAAAGAGGTAGAACTAACAGTTCCATTGCATAGAGCTCGTGTTCCTACTGTTTTCCAATGTATTCTAAAGTCGAGTTATATATTAGACGTATCTTTCTGTAGCTTTTGCAGCTGTATGTGTATAATAGACCCCACTGTGCCGAGAGTCAATGTCGGTCTACCTGCCTGACGCGCACATCGTTGGCATTTATTTTTGTTTGCAAATTTCAGCAAATTCCATACGAAATTTTAGTTGGCTTTTGGGGTTCATTTTACATTTTTCAGTTTCGTTGCCTTGCCGTGTGTTGAGAGAAACTCTGGCATTCATTTGTGTAGCAATTATCACAGAAAACTCACTCACCCCACCCCCTGTTCCCTGTTGTTCCTCCTTCGCTGTTTGATTCCCAACAGTTTCTTGGCCCGAAGAGTTCCCTACACCGTTAATGCCAGAACACAGCGATCTATGCAAATGAACATTGCATGCACAGTGGTACACGCTAATTGCCATTCTTCCACTTCTTCCACTTTTTTTTTTTCTTCCTCTTATTTTATATATTTTTACGCTTATTTGAGCCTTTTAATTTGTTCCTATTGCTATTATCGTCTGTCTTTGCCATCCATTCATGTTTTTCAGGTCTCCCAAATGCGGCCAAGACATTCTTCTAATGAACTTAAGACAGGGCTTATAGAGTGGTAGCCGGAGGAGAACAAGCGGGTTCGACTTTTGCCAAAAGCGGTTCAAACCGAAAGGCCCCCACACTGGCCACAGCCACAGTAATAATAACGTTATTTTCCTTCTTTACCTGTGTATTTTTTTTGTCTTCTTATTTCTATCTCTTCTTGCGCCCTCTCTTTTGGCGTTTCTTTCCCGCTGTGTTGGCCTGAAGGAGGGCGGGCGGGACAGTCGGAGGGGAGTGCGCGGGCCTCCTATTGATTGTTTAATATTTTATGCCGGGTTTATTGACATTTTGTGTGCGACGACGACTCGCGAGTGAGTGAGTCTCTTCTGCTTGTGGTATTCCGAAATAGTTTCGGCATGCTTCAGAGCTGCTGCTGCTTGCCTGCAAACCAAAAAAACATAAAGAACAATACCCCCAATCCGGTTCGTTTCGTTTCGATTTTTGGGGCTTAGACATTTTTGCGAGTGCCAACAATCTTTGTTGTGCCCTGCGTTGTTTTTTATTTTATATATTTTCTATATAGTTCCTGTGTGTAGTACTGCTTATCGTCAGGTTTTTTTTTTTGTGGTTTTTGGTTGCAATTTGTGGGATAACCGGGTGTGGTGCAATAATGTAGCTTATCTTGGCAAAAATATATCTTGGGAACTTTTTTAGTACGAGTACTTCCCTCTTATCTTCGTTCAATGATGAATGTATGGGGTATAGGGTATGAATCAGTCGAGTACGTCCCCTTGTTTACCTGTTTGTTTTGTCTTGTTGTACAATTTTTATGATATTCGTGAAATTGTTTTCTTTTTTCGCCTTTTGTGCCTCTCGCATTTATTTGCATTTACTTCCACTAACTCGCACCACATTCTCTCCTCTCCGTTCATTCGCTTGATGTTGTTTTGCATTTTAATTTTTGTAGTGAACAACAAAAAAAACAACAAAAATAAAGATCAAAAGTTTAATGTGCCAAATGCATAAAATATACTACGAAAAGCAGGTCACGCTTTATACACACACACACACATAAATATACAATCTTTAAAGCGTAAACTTCTATATAGAAACAATATTTAACCTTTTTTTCTCTTTTTTTGCAGATGTGAAGAATCCTTAGGTGCTAATTTAGTTGATAAGACAAAACAAGAGAGAGAGAGAGAGAGAGAAAGATAACACACACCCACACACACACAGAGTACAATACAACTGTTATCCGCCAAGTCAATTTTTCCAACCGAGTGGCAACCTTGTTTTGGAGCGGGCACCTTAAAGTATGCAACAAAAAAACGCCAGCGACGACTGCCTTGCTGTCAGGCGCAACTAAAGAGAGTAACGGATAAAGAGAAAAGAGCGCAGACCGTTCTGGTTATTGTTTTTACTCCCCCCCTGCGGATAACTGCAGCGAAATGTCCAAATATTTCGTGCCTGTTGCCCCAAACAGCAGCAGCAATGGAAACAACAACAGTAACGGCAACACCGCACAGCAGAGACAGCATCAACAACAGCAGCAGCAGCAGCAGCACCAGCAGCAACATTATGGTACAGGTGCCAGTCACACTTTTGTGGCACGAAAACTCAACTATGACATGCTGGGGGGAGGCGGCGGTGGCATCGGCGTCAACACCACCACCAACCACAACAACAACAATATTGTGATCAAAAACGAAAAGCTGGATCTGGACTATGATCATGGTTTGAGCAGCAGCGACAGCAACAGCAACAGCAATAGCAACAGCAACAGCGGTGTGGCCGCCCATCTAAGGGATCACGTGTACATCAGTCTGGATAAGAGCGGAGTAGGCCACACAACGGCAACAGTGGTCAATGCCCAGCAGCAGCAGCACCAGCAACGTGTTGCTGGCAGTAAATCGAATGATATCACCAAGTACTACAAGGTATGTTTACACCATTCTAAACGAACTCGAATGGTTCCATTTTGATCCATACTAAAACTTCTTTTCCGTTGCCTTTGCCCTTGCCTTTCTTCAGGTCAAGCGCCGGCCGCAGCCCGTCACCGATGAGATCCATCCCAAGAAGCAAGCGAAGCAGGGCCTTCTGCATCAGACTGTTGGCTATCAGAAGCATGTTGTGGCCAGCAGCACGCCCCAGCTTCAGCATCAGCCACAGCAACGTCGCCACCAGCAGCACCAACAGCAACAGCAGCACGAACACGAGCTGGATATAGAGGATGATGTGTCGGAGAGGAGCGGCGGCAAGCCGTCGGCTACGCAACATTCGTTTGTGCTGACAACGCCCCAACAGCAGCTGGCCGCATCGGTGGCTAGCAGTGGCGGCGGCGGCGGCGGCAGCACATCGGCCGGCGATCGCAATCGGGCCGATACCTCGTTGGGTATATTGACCAAAAAGTTTGTCGATCTGCTGCAGGAATCGCCCGACGGCGTTGTCGATCTGAACGAGGCCTCCAATCGCCTGTGCGTGCAAAAGCGTCGCATCTACGACATCACCAACGTGCTCGAGGGCATCAATATATTGGAGAAAAGGTCCAAAAACAACATCCAATGGCGGGGCGGACAGTCGATGGTCAGTCAGGAGCGCTCGCGTCGCATCGAGGCCGAGTCCGAGCGTCTGGAGCATCGCGAGAACGAACTCAATATGCAACTCGATCTGATGCGGGACGAGCTGGCGAAAATTTCCAAGGAAGTGGAGAATGCCGGCGGCATGGCCTATGTAACGCAAAATGATCTACTGAATGTGGATCTGTTCAAAGATCAGATTGTGATTGTGATCAAGGCGCCACCAGAGGCAAAGCTTGTGGTGAGTACTGCACAGGGAAAGGGCAACCCAAGGGAAAAAGAAATACTAAAGGGGGTTCAAAGAATGTTTTGTCCGACTTTAAAATTAATAGTTGTAGCCTTCCAGGCTGAAGATATTATTAGCAGTGAGTAGAAATTAATTGAAAATGTCGGTAGTTTCTTTTGATATTAGGAAAAGCATTTGCAAGAATTCAAATTAATTCAATTAAATAATGAGAAATATAGATTGGATTTATAAGAACCGAAAAACATATATTTGGTTTATATAGAAAATCCCCTCAAAACTTGTTCCTACTACAATGTAGAATAGAAAGCCATTTATTTTTATTTAGTTGAGCGATTTAACGTAATATATGTATGCAGTTCCTATATGTACTATAGACATCGGACGACGTCAGAGTTTGTTCTTCTTCTTAGCGTCTGCATGCCATTAAACGTGGCGCTTATTTATAGACTCCTGTCGCAAGCCCCACGGCAGACAGGCAGCGACAGGCAAGAAATGGAACACACACAGTGGCATGGAGGGAGGGAGGGAGGGATGTGACGACGGGCGGGGGGGACACCGACAGCCCACAACCACCAGCCTCCTAGCTGCTGGTGGGAGCCTCTTCCCAACGCCTACATTTTGATATCAAATAAATTTCTATACTGCCAGGCCAATAGTGAGAGAGAGAAAGAAAGAAAGAGAGAGAGTTTCTTTTTTGCTGAAACTGTATTGGGATTTTGCACTATTTATAAATACATATATATTAAATGCTTAATGTTTCCGCTCGCCTTGAACCGTTTAATGAACTCTCCTCCATGGTTGTGTGGGGTAGGGGAGGGGGATCGCCCAACATAATTTGCCTAAAAGTTGGGTTAACATTTTGCAAAAATCTGGCAACGCTATACACTTGCCAAAAACAAAAAAAAAAAATAATAAAAAAAAAAAACGAATAAAAGAAGAGACGAGACGGAGAAAAAGCGCAGAGCAAAAGCAAAATATCATTTCTAAAAATACTCGAGTCGAGAGGCAGCAACAACAACAACAACAGAAAAGTTGCTCATTCTCATTCTCGAGCTTCATTTGTATTTCTCTTACGCTGTGGAACGGTCCGGTCTGGTCCGGTCGGCGACCGCTTAAAAATGTAGTCATCCCGCGCGGGGTTATCCCCTCCCTCTTCTATCAATTAAATTTAACCAAAAAGAACTGTTAGTTTCTGGTTTTTTGTGTGTGTGTGGAATTTCTTAATAATTTTTAACCATTTTTTGTGTCTTTTTCGTTTTGTCCAGTTGCCCAACACAAAGTTGCCGCGCGAGATTTACGTGAAGGCCGAGAACGGGGAGATCAATGTCTTCCTCTGCCATGACAACTCGCCGGAGAACTCGCCAATCTCCGCGGGCGCTGGTTATTTGGGTGCACACCCAGGCGCCGGGTGTGTGCGGACAGCCACATCGACACGACTGCACCATCTGACCAGCCAGCGACTGAACGATCCGCTCTTCAACAACATCGATGCAATGAGCACAAAGGGATTAGGTAAGTGCCAGCAAATAAACAAAAGGATAGACTTGCATTTGAAGAAACTAAACACTTGGATTTACTTTTTACACACACACACACAGGTCCCACACCATATCGCTCGGCCCAGCGTAACCTCAGCAAATCGATTGAGGCCGCCGCGGCACAGCAATCCTCCCAGCCTGAATATAATAAAATTTGTGATATTGCGATGGCCGATGGCCAGCAGCAGCAGCAGCAACACGAAGATGATGATGTGGATGCCGAGCTGCAACAGCTGGTGCCTACGCTCACCCATCCGGTGGTCCGCAGCCATCTGTATGGCCAGCAGCAGCAGCAGCAACAGCATCAACATCAGCAGCAGCAGCAGCAGCAGAACTCCATCCAGCAGCTGTTTAGCAGCTTAACCGAATCCTCTCCCACGCCCACGACAAGGCGTCGGGCGGCAGCAGCAGCTGCAATTGCCGCGGGACATCCCACAACAACAACAGCAGCAGCGGCAGCAGCAGCAGCAGCAACAACCACAGCAACCACTACGCTTAATAGTCATAATAGCAACAACAACCACAGCAGTTCCCAGCCTCCCATAATAGGCTACGGCAACAGCAGCAGCAGCAGGAACAGTCAGCCACCTCCACCACCACCGCACCAGAACCAGCACCACCATCATCAGCAACAGCCACAGCAGCAGCAGCAGCAGCAACAGCAACGTCGCAGCGATGTGCCCATGTATAATTGTGCAATGGAAGATGCCACCGCCACAAGAGAAACAGCAGCCGCAACAAGAGGAATAGCAGCGACAACAGCATCATCATCTGCCTCCTCGGCAATGGGCTCCCTACATATGCAGTTTGCGGCAGTGGCTGGGAATGAGGGCAGCGGCAGCGGCAGTGGCAGCAGCTATGGCAACCTGTCGGGCGCTGGCGCCAGTGCGGATCATCATCATCAGCAATACAGCCAAAATAGCCATAACCCGCCTCTGCCGCCCAGTATGGGCGATTGTGATGCGAGCAGCAACAGCAGCAATGTTACGCTTCAGGGGCTCGATGCTTTCTTCAATGAAATGGGCTCGGACTGTAAGTACAAACCCCGAACCCCCAAAAGGGATGCCACCACCCTTGAACCACCACCCACCTACAAACCCACAAGAACAGCTGTCATCATCATACGATGTAAACTTTCGTGCTTGCTCGCCTCATTCATCATCGGCAACAGCAACAGCAGCAGCAGCAGCAACATTTCTGTCTCTGTACTGTTAACATGTGAATAACATTAATAACCGAAGAACCTCTGTAAAGCTAACATTATGGTGTACTGTACAGTGCGTGAGATCTGTTTAACAGTGAGAGATATCTCTGTAGGCCTTAACAGAGGTACAGTAACGTCCAGCACTCAATTTGAGGCCCTCTTGTCAAGAACTTTTTCTGTGACCTGCGTGACATTTGACCACATCACAGTCTGAGTTCTTGCTGAGCGTGAACCTCCTCGCCAACCAACCTGAGTGATTAACCACCAACAACAACATATCAAAGTGACTGTGCATTCTTTTTTTTTTGTTTCAATTATATATTCATTGAAGTGAAGTGTAACATTAAGTAAACCCAAACCTATTCCAAATTTCAACAAAAACATATTCGTATGAGTTAAAGCTTTTGTTTTTAGTCTTGTATTTTTAATTGCAAAAACATTTCGGCCAACGAGAATCAGTTCAAAATTGAGAAAAATTATTTGCCTTACATTTTTTGGATGTCGATTTTTTTTTAAGTTGTGTATGTTTTCTATAATTGTTTTTGGGTGAAATGGTTTTTCTTATTTAACACCCATACATCCCATACATTCAAACGCACGCACTCATACATACTACATTCTCTGTTCATATCCTAATAACAACAAAAAAGAATACCAAAAAAAAAAAAAAGAAGGAATAAACAAATGTGATAATATTTGTGAATTAATTTGTATATATGTATGTATATATATTTGTATCGTTAAATAACCCCCGACGCCTCGTCTGAAATATATCTCGTCCTCGTGTCAAATTCATTTTGGAACTGAATTCTCGTGGGTCTGCACTGACAACACTGACCGTTCCAGGGCCAATTGTTCATTTTGCGATTGAAATTTTGTAGCACCATGAGATTCAGCTCTGGCGTGAATTTCAAACATGCATCCACAACATCTCTCGCCTCGCCTCGCCTCGCTATAATCTACTCTATCTTTCTGTCTTATGTGTGTACTTTTAAGAAAATACTGAATTGAATATACCCCCTGAAGAAGGAAGATGAATGGCAATGAAATAAGCTCTGATATTTACATACAACTTTTCTTTACAGACTTCAGCAATGATATGGCCTTTGTGTCCATCAATCCGCCGGATGATAATGAGTATCCGTATGCGCTCAATGCAAACGAGGGCATCGATCGTCTGTTTGACTTTGGTCCCGAACCCTATGAACCCTAAGCGAAGACACATCCACACACACACACACGCAAACACAAAAAAATATATATCATTAAATATATATACAAAATTCTGGGATTCTGGGGGTGTTTATAATTTTAAATTATACACAAAAAATGGCAAACAAAAAGAAAAACAAAAACCAGCACATTACAAATTTATTATTAAATTATATAAATTGCAAAAACAAAATACACAAAAAAAAAAAACAAAACAAAAATATATAAGAGAAAAGAAAAAATCAGCAAACTTAATGAAACTAAGTTGTGTGTACAAGTTTTAAGCGTAAAGTTATACATATAAATTTATAACCCAAAAGTAATTTAAGCGAAAACAAAAAAAAAACAAATTCTACTCTACAAAGAAAACTCAGCCTCACAAAAGAAAAATAAGCAAACATTTTATAAAACAAACATTTCAATTTTAGCCTTAAAACAAAGCAAAAACAAAAAGGGAGGAGAATCAGGAATAAGCGGTATAAGAATAGGCCACACAAAAAAAAACACATTATATAAGTTCGAATACTTCCTACTCTCATCCAGGAACCTATTTCGGACTAGAACTGTCTGTAAATTACTACAAATAAAAAACACCACACACACACAAACATAATTTTTAAAAATAAACAAAAAAATAGGTATATATATATAAAATCAATTTAGAATCTAAACAATAAAATGAAAATCAATTTCAAATTGTAACAAAAAAAAAATTAATGTTGAAATTTGCTTCAAAATTTCCAACAGAGCATAAGGAACGAGGAATCCCCACAGACAGACAGGCATTCAGAAGACACACAACTTGGCCCCAACCCTTACCCCCCACCCACCTCGTATCTCTCTCATCCCAAAAACAAAACCAACAAAAACTTCCCCCTCTCAATACAATAATTTTTAGTTACGCATGAAACCCCCGCACTCTACTCTTTACTCAGCGTTGTCTCTTCTGTAATTTGTTTCATTTGCCTGCATGGATTGATTTTTAAATTATTATTATTAAAGCTATAACTATGTATCATAATAATTTGTTATTGTTATAAAATTTACACTATAAACACCACACCAATACATGGGCCCAATAGCAGTTTGTTCACAGAAGCCAAATCGTCCCAAGCAAACCCACTTAACAGAGTCAACTACAAGTACATAAATACCTATTTTACCTATTTAAACTCTCGCCTAGAAGTTAAACTAAACTAAACCATAAAATGCAACAAAACCAACAAATCACACAATTGTATAAAGAAGCAAACACAAATAAAACGGAAAGAGAAACCCAACAGAACAGAAGAAACCACAACCTCTATGTAATTGTAATTTAATTTTTGTAAGTAAATAAAAATACACAAATTTTCTTTTCTTTCCAAAAACAAAAGAAAACAATCAGAAAAGAAGAGAAAATATACATATTAGAAGAAGAAAACAACTTAAAAATAAACATCAAAAAGAGTTTTAAAATCAAAGATTTAATGGTTTAATTTCATTCAAAATTTATTCTCGCTTCGGGTTCGTACTTTCACAGCAGGAATCTAATAGTTTCATAGCAGTCAGCTTTAATAGTCTTTCTCTCTATCTCTGTCTCACACACTCTTCCTCGACCAGTGCGTGCAGCCTTGGCGGAGGGGGCGAGATGGGTGGGTTTTAGCTTGCAGGGGCCATACCTTTATTTTTCCATGCCCGGCAACATATAATCCAGCCACATGTGGCCAAGCGCCAGCAACATTTTAGTGCGGCGCATTTGAAAACAGACTATCCAGGGCCTGGCATTTGGATATTAATCAATATTATAGTTTCGAAGCAGCTTGGAACAACAAATTTAACATTAGTTAAAGGAAATAGGGTATGATAATGTTGATACTCAGAGCTGAAATATGATGTCACATGCCGGTACTTGGGCCGTTTTTGTTTGAACCTTAATATGTAAATAGTCCAATAAAAGAAAACTTGCCAATCTTGCAGAAAATGTATATATCTATCGGATAAAATTATTTGCTTAGGGCTGAGATGGCCCACTACCTTGTAATATTAAACGGAATATTAAAATTGATGAATATGATTTTCCTCGGTATGTTTAAGGTATATAATGAAAATGACGTTTCTGAGGTTCCAGTCACACTCGACAACAAATCAAGTGAAATCAAGTATTTATTTTTCCATATTAATATACTTTTGAAAATGACCGCCAAACTCATTTAGCGCACAAAAAATACTGACATTTTTCGCTCTCAAATCGTGGTGGTTTTTCAAAATTTGCTCTCTTTTTGAGGTGAAGAGAGCGTTTTCGTGGTGAATTTCCCCTCCTTTTCGTGGTGTGAAAAACATGTATCTTACGGGAACGCGTATGGGATGAAGATTCATTGTTGCGTCATTCCATACGCGTTCCCGTAAGATACATTTGATTTGTATGGGAAAAAATTCAGCAGCATGTGGAAATGAAGAGGCAGCATTGTTTGAAATCTCCAATTAATGCAGAAACTACTGTCTCTGTTTTAAAGATATTAACGATATTTTTTAGCTCACGGGTACCAATAATAGGTATCAGAACCGGAATAAATGTATTTATAAAACACAAAACATATGCATTAATAGATAAAAAAACATGCCAATCTAGGATAAAATCATTATTAATGTCGTAATGGGGCTTGGAACAACAAATTTAAGATCAATTAAAGGAAATAAGGTATACAGAAGTCCATACGCATAGAAGAAACTTGGTTGACCAGCAACACTGACGTCACATTTAGTCAACATTTACGTTTTATGCTTTGGCCGCTTTTGTTTGAACCTTATTATGTAAACAATCCAATGCAAAATAGTTCTGAAAACTGGCCAATCCTGAACACAATTTATAGAGGAATTAGATTAAATTATTTTTTCAGGGCTGAGAGGGCCAAATAGCTAGTAATATTAAACCGAATATCAAAATCGAGGAATATAAACGCACATTGTCGTGTCCGTCAGTATATTTTTGATATATTTTTAAAATGGTAAGGTATATTTCGGTATATTTCCGAGGGTCTCACGGTATATTTTATCTATAATTCCGCGGTCACACTCAGTCCATCACAAAAAATTTTTGCCGCGACTCGAAACCAAGGAAGCGCGGTCGAATTTTTCCTGAATTTTCAAAGTTTTTGTCGCAGAATTAAGGAAAATTCGCTAAAAGTGTACAAAAAAATCGGTTGGTAAAAATAAAAAAAAAATAAATATTTTTCCCCGCTCTGCTAAAAAAAGTGGTAAAACTGTGTATGTGTGTGTGTGGAAAGCAGAAAGAAAGTGTTGAATACAAATCCAAGCCAAAGAAAGTGGGGGAGAGATGTGATGTTGTGCCTAGTGTCGAACGCGATTCTTGAATGAAAAGAAAATACTAAACAAAAGCAGAGTACACCGGTCGGAAGTGTACCCGATAAAATATCTGTGAGTGGAGTGGATTGGGGAAATCATAATAGTAATAATAGTAAAAGAAGGCGTAATGAAATTCCAGGAAGTACAAGTGCTGCCAGCGAGTGCTTGCGTGTGTGTGTGTATCAGAGTGCTGCGCGCGCGCTTGCATATGCATGAGTGTGTGTGTAAAATTCACAGTAAATAAATAAATAAAAATTTGTATACACCCATACATAAACACACATATTAGTGTGGTGTGTTTATGTGTGTGTCAGAGTGTTGTGAAGTTGCGGCGCAAAAGGAAAGCACGCAAATAAAACATAAGAAGGAAAAATGCCAGTGTGTGCGTGTGTTCGTGTGTGTGTAATTACGCCTGCGTCTAGGAAAGTGCGTCGTTTGTGTTCTGTTTTTGAAATCAATACCAAAATACAAGAAGAAATTGCCGGGAAAAAGTTCTTAAATTAATTATTTACCCACACTTTAGGCGCAAAACCACAACAAAATCGAGAATAAACTGCTACCACAACAATTAAAATGGTTGACAACAAACGCTGTGCAAAAAGGTAAGTGAAAAAGGAAGAAAAACCAAACCAAACAGAAAATAAAAAACCAAAACAGAAAACGTAACCAGAAAATTAGTATAAAAACAAAACACGCCAACTAAAAATCAAAACAAAAAAGCAATTAAGAAAGTACACACCAAAATCCTAACTGGAGGGCACTTAGATCAAAGCTATTAATTAGGATGCGCATCTACAGTTTAATATCTTGGAAATAGCTTTCCTTAATACATAGTTCTCTTGATACGAGTATTTGAATAATCGTTCCATCTAGAACTGTCCGCCAGAGGATTTTTTTTTTTCAGAGAAACAGATAGAGGACATGTCTGGTGAAATACAGTGAAATGCCCACCGTCGGCTATATGAACTTTTTTTTGAGACGAAAAAAAAAAGTGCTTAAAACCGACAATAACAAAAACAAAAACGTAACTGGAGAGGGAAACACAAAACCAAAGCAAATCCAAAATCATAGCTAGAGAAAAATGCAAAAAACGTAACTAGAGAGAAAAATCAAAAAAGCAAAAGCACAAAAAATAAAAAAATAAACGCAACTAGAAAAATACTCGTACAGAAATTACTACGCAGCAGCAATTTATGCGAAGCTGTTGTTGCTTTTGCTTTTGTTGTTGTTCCATATCTATCATATCTTTTGGCCGCCTCTCTGTTGTTGTTGTGCTTCCTCTTCTTCCTCTTCTCTTCTGCTCTCTGGAATGAACCGCTTGTTTTCCCAACGTTTACGTCTTGTTTTGTGAATGAGAATGAGCAGAGAGCGCAGCCACGCGCGCTCTCCCTCTCTCTAGCTCTCTCTCACTCTCAGTGTCTCTGGTGGTGAGCGAAGTAGGAATGAAAGAATGTCGATAAATGCCGGTTTTTGTTGGGTGTTTGTTGTTGTCCGTATATTCTTCAATTTCGAGAAACAATTTTAATAAATAATATTTTGATGTTATAAATAAATGTCAAATGAATGCTTATTGTTTTTAGGGGCCCGTAATTGCTTCCGTTGGCCACTAATTGAATGTTCCTTTATTTCCCCAAAGAAATTGTGCTGATGTTGTGGTAGTCCTGATAACTGAACTGTGCTATTAGCTGTTTTAGGATCATCAAAAACTTTTTCGTAAATATTGATTTTATTGATTTTTATAATGGCCCAAGGTAAAAGAACGATCAGTTTTCTCCGAATAGTCTTTACTCAGAAAACAAGCAGATTAAACAGCATTTCAGGGCAACGCAAATACATACATACATACATATCACAAATCTCTGAAACTGAAAAACCTTCGCTTCAAATTGGGGCAAAAGAGCCCAAAAAAGGCTACGACGAGGGTCTGGATCTGTCCAATGGTTCTTGGTCACAAATACTTATCTATTTGATTGAATAGTTGTATTTTTGGTTATAGGACACATGTAGGATAATTGAAACATTAGTTGATGCAGAAAAGAATGAGTGAAGGCTCTTTCCCGTCACTCAATTCCTATATTAATCTATGAACATATTGACTTCCTCGACCCTTGAGGGCAGATATGTACATAGATAGATGCCGCCATTTAAACATGCCAAATATACTGCCAAGAGACCTTTCACTGTATTTACATAATGTATGTACATATCTATGCAAATTCCCCGAACTAAATATGTATATTTTCGTGGGTGCTTTCCGGGAAAATTCACATATTTACATATAAGAACATTGAGAACGGGGAGAAGAAAATTGCAGCCAAATGAAACAGTGCGTGGTGAGGAAAATAGGAAAAGGGAAGCCTATCTTTCAGGCAAAAACAATCCATAAATCCGATGATGAGATGGAGCTAAGCCTGGGCTTGGGATTGGGGTCTCTATGGCTGTGGGTTGTGAGTTGTGGGCTGAGGCCTGGATCCGCCTGCTAATTAAAAAGCATAAGCACTAATTGGCATGCCGCTGTGTGGTAGGGTGTGGGGTGGGGTTTTGGTGCTGCGGCTGCCCACTTGCTGTGCGCCGTGAGTTGTTGTTCTTACTATATATTTTTTGTGTGGTGCGGTGTATTATTATTGTATAATAAGAGAAAAATGCCATAAAAAAAAAAAAAAGCAAGAATAGCGTAGCATTTTTTGTTGTATTAATCATGCTATATTTTTGACGAGCCGAGGCCCAAGGAATGTTGGCCAATGTATTTGTATTTGTGCGTAATTTATTTATTTTTAAATCGAGTTGTATTTGCCTCGGTATGGGTATTGCTAACGTATGTGTGTGTGTGTGTGCGCGCTTGTGACAAAAATAAGTTGCTGCAGAAACAAATTGTTGAAAAATCTAAAAAAAAAAAATGTAAAACAAAATAAAATAACATCAAATCTAGAGAGGATGAGGCAATGACGGGGTCCCGGGCCAAGTTTTGTTATTCTTTTTTTTTTTTTGTATATTTTTATATATTTTTGTGGCAAAAACCGGAAATTGTTTGTCCGGCTATTGTTGATGACGTATGACTGTATGACTGACTGGGAGGCACAAAAATACACTCTCTCGTACATATGGATATGCCATACAAGTTGTTGTTGGGTTGCGGAGGGACGTGGGGCCGGGTTCGGCATTGGAAATACTGGCGCATAATTTGGCCACACTAATTAGCAAAGAGCGGAGAGAGAGGGGCGAACAAAACGAACGAAAGAAAAAAAAAATAATGCTCTGACCACATGTCTAAACGGTGCTGGTGCTGCTTTGGCGCGCGTGCAAGAACGAGAGGGAAGCGGTAAAGCAGAGCAAGAGCAAGAGAGTGGTGGCCAAGTGATAAGCTTGTGTGTGTGTGTGTTCGAGTGTGTGAGTGGTGCGCTGAGCGAGACAAACAGACAGGTGTCAATGACCTTTTTCGCTGCGATGGCAAAAAAAAAGTAAAGGAACAATAAAATCAACCCACACACATACTAAAAACGTTTTTTTTTTGTGTGCAGTTTTTGCTGCGTTTACTGCTAGCTCTCTGCTGTTCTGCCTACTGCTTGCTGTTATTGCTGTTTATGCTGTGAACTGCTTGGCCTTGAACTTAGACGCGCGTCTTCTAATCGCTCCACACACACGCCTCACTCTCTCTCTTTCTCTTCACTCACACACCCATGCAGACAGGCACGCATTTGTGGGTTTATTGCTCTGTTCTGCTCTGTCGATTGTAGTTGGGGCTTTTTGTTGTTTTTGTGGTTTTGAATTTTTTGGAGGCGCGCACATGCCTAAAACGGTATCAATTACGCAATTTATATTGCAGAAGGCGTATATGTCGTAATAGTTGCAACCTTTCCAGTGTCAAATTTCCCTAAAGAGACAGAAAATAGCTGTATACATATGTGATGTCTACGACAAGAACCCGCCATTTAGTCATAAACTGTTTTAAGGAAAAATTTATATTTAATCTACATTATTATGGGTCGGATTTCCGACATAAATTTCGGACTGCCAAAACGCGAGTTTTGCTTAATTATGGAAATCTGAAAATACTAAATGACATAGTAATAAATACATTGATCATTTGTACTCCCATGTGCTTTATTGTTGCCTGCTTTGCGTTTTTCTATCGCTTTGATGGAACATGTTCTGGCGCTCAACAAGTCATATGGGAAAGTATGACTCAACTTGTTTTTTTCCCAATGAAAAAAGAAAAAAAACTTAATATACTTCTACATGTATGTATATGTATGCTGCAGAAAAGCATTCAGTTCCAGGAACAACATTACAATCTTAATGCATTTTCTTGGATCAACATCATCATCAATCAGCCGCTTCGAAATAAACAAAAAAATTTCCTTTGCAAGTGATTCACGTATTCGTACGCATTGCCTAGAAGAGGGCCCCATTTGCCCATCACATCACATCACGCATCCCCCCCTACACCCCTCCACCATCAAACGCTTCTGCTCAGAATCTTATCAGAGAGAGAGAGAGAGTCTAAGGTCCAAGTAAATAATACACAACAATAACAAGAACAATAGAGCGCGTGGTGGATGGTTGGTTGTGGTGTTGTGGGGTGGAGGGGTGAACAACAACCATAAAACACACACAGTTACACACAACAACACATGACATAGTCGAGTTGTCGTCGTTGTCGTCGTCGATGTGTCGTGGTCGTTCCTCAGTTCCCCATTTACCGAGTTTCACAGTTCCTCAATTCTTCAGTTAGTAGTCGTATGACGGTGGCCCCCTCGAACCGTCTACGTCTGCACCGCACTGCTACGCGTCGCCTACGCATAAACACCATGTCCATATCATCGTATCCGTGTGTGCGTATGCGTGTGCGTTTGTACAATTATGGTCTACTTTGTGATTTAAAAACAACTAAAACAAACTTCATACATCGTCCACATCTAACGAACATGGGATACTTGGTACTAGCTTATAAGTTTCCTGTTTAAAGATTGCCTAAGGATAGATTTTCGTATGCATTTTCAACTCATTTTCCCTATTGCTATGCCCCCAGTTCTTTTCCACTAGTCGCCCCAAGATAGTACGAGTATACCCCCTATTGTCAAGTGGTACCAGGTATAACAGAAAAAAAAAAAACTAGAATACATAATAGTACGCAACAACAAAGTGGTCGGTCGGTCGGTCGCGAAAATGGCAACTCGAGCTTTAAGTGGAGGAGAGTGACAGGCGGTAGACAGCCGATGACGTGGTGTTTATATGGTTACGGGATCTTGTGATCATTTTGTGTGTGCGCCTATTTTGCCGTAAGTTGGCTGCTAGTGGAGGTGGTGGTGGGAAGTGTTTATTCTGTGATTTATTCAACAAAGTTGCGGGCGGGTGACACACCACACCACACACACGCACGCACACACACACACACGGAGCAGCTTGTGGGTTCCAGTGGAAGAAGCAACAATTTTCGCCAAATGGCAAGATTCTTGTTCAGCTATTTTGATTGCAGATAGTGGGCTTATCTCTAAAAATCATAACTAAAAATGGGATGAGTTCACATTTGTTAGAGTTTTAGTTTTCGCGCCGAAATGGTATCATTTTGATACTTCCGGTGTCTCGGTTAACTATTTAAAAT